AGGACCGCGACGCCGCGCGAAGCGAGCACGGCGCGGCGCTCGCCGACGCGATCAAAGCGGCCGAGACCGACAAGGAGCGGCAGCACGCGGCGGCACTGAGGCCGCCTTCAAGCAGAAGGAGGACGAATTCGCCGCGGCCCTCGAATCGCGCGAAGCCGAGATCCTCGCGAAGCACAAGGCCGCCTTGAAGGAGCAAGCGGACCGACAGGCCGCGGAGATCGACGAGGCTCTGGCGGCTCACAGGCAGCAGCAGGACATGCTTCGATCCAAGCACGAGACCGAGCTCGCGTCGGCGACGGAGATGCTCGCGCTCGAGAAGGACCACGACCACAGTTCGGCGCTCGTGTCCGCGCTGCGGTCCCGGGACGACGAACACGCCGCGGCGATGGACTCGCGCGAGAAGGAGCTCGCCGAGAAGCATGCGGCGGCGCTCGCCGAACAAAAGTCGTCGCTGTCGAGCGCGCACGAGAGCGCTCACGAAGAAACGGTCGCCCGGCACGAGGACGCCGTGGCGACGCTGCGGCGCAAGCACGAAGCCGACCTCGAATCCGCGACGGGCGCTCTGGGCGTCGATAAGGACCGCGAGCGCCTCGAGGCCGTCCGGGAACGCGAAACGGCCCACGCCAAGGACCTCCAGGACTTGGAAGCGAGCTTCGTCGAGCGGACCAAGAGCGAGCTTCAGGCCCGGGACGCGGCCCACGCCGAGGCCCTCGCGGGACTCCAGTCGCAGCACGACGCCAAGGTCGGCACCATGCAGGACGGTCACGCGGCCGCGCTCGCGTCCGCGACCGAGATGTTGGCTCTGGAAAAGGACCACGACCACAGTGCTGCGCTCGTGTCCGCGCTCCGCGCCCGAGACGACGAGCACGCTGCGATATTGGAGGCTCGCGAGAAGGAGCTCGCCGAGAAACACGCCGCGGCGCTCGCCGAGCAAAAGACGTCGCTCTCCAGCGCCCATGAGGCCACGCTGGCGGACGTGCATGGCAAGCATGAGGAGCAGACTTCTGCCCAGAAGCAAAAGCACGAGGCAACCGTCGAGGAGACGGTCGCGCGACACGAGGAGCAGCTCGCGGCCCAGCAGCGCAAGCACGAGGCCGACCTCCAGTCGGCGACGGCGACACTCGAGGTCGACAAGGACCGCGAGCACTCGTCGCGGCTGACCGACGCCATGAGGAGTCGCGACGACGCCCACGCCAAGGAACGCCAGGACCTGGAAGCGAGCCTCGCGGAGCGTCACAAGAACGAGCTCGCGGCCCGGGACGCCGCCCACGCCGAGGCAGTTGCGGGGCTCCAGTCGCAGCACGACAGCAAGGTCGCGTCGATGCAGGAAGGCCACGCGGCCACTCTCGCGTCGGCGACCGAGATGCTCGCTCTGGAGAAGGACCACGATCATAGCAGCGCGCTCGTGGCTGCTCTCCGCGCCCGCGACGACGAGCACGCGAAAGCGATGGAGGGTCGCGAGAAGGAGCTCGCCGAGAAGCAAGCGCTCGCCGAGCAAAAGGCGTCGCTGTCCGGCGCCCACGAGAGTAGTCACGCGGAAACCGCCGCGCGACACGAGGACGCCATGGCGACGCTGCAGCGCAAGCACGAGACGGAGCTCCAGTCCGCGACGGCTACCCTCGAGGTCGACAAGGACCGCGAGCGCCTCGAGGCCGTCCGTGAACGTGACGCGGCCCACGCCAAGGAGCTCCAGGACCTCGAAGCGAGCTTCGTCGAGCGGACCCGGAGCGAACTCGAGGCTCGAGATGCCGCGCACACGAAGGCGCTCGCGGAGTTGCAGATGCAGCACGAGAACAAAGTCACATCAATGCAGGACGGCCACGCGGCTTCGCTGGCATCGGCGACGGAGATGCTCGCGCTCGAGAAGGACCACGATCACAGCTCGGCGCTCGTGTCCGCGCTCCGCGCTCGCGACGACGAACACGCCACCGCCATGGAGGCCCGCGAGAAGGAGTTCGCCGAGAAACACGCCGCGGCACTGTCCGACTTGCAAGAGAGACACAAGAGCGACCTCAGCTACCTCAAGGAGAATCACGAAGGGGAACTCGCCACCGCCGTCGAGTCGGCGGCGTCGGAGAAGGATCGCCACATGCGGTCTGCGCTCACCGCGCAGAGCCAGGAGCACGACACCGCGCTCGCTCGAGCCATCGCCGAGCGCGAGGCGGAGCTCAAGGCCCTCCACGAGACCGAGCTCGACGCGCGAGCCGATGTTCACGCCCGAGCCGTCGAAGCCGCCGACGACGCTCACGCCCGAGCCGTCGAAGACGTCCTTCTGGCGGCGCAGAAACAGGCTGCGCGAGATGAAGCGAGCTTGCAGGAGACGCACCGGGCCGAGCTGGCGGCCGAGCAGGAACGGCACCAGGAGATGCTCTCCCAGGCCGCCCACGAGTACGACGCGGCGGTCAAGGCGACGCTGAGCGAGAAGGACGAAGAGCACGCCAAGCTCCTCGCGGACGCGGAGTCGAGCCTCTCCGCTTCGGCCGCGTCCCAGCTGCGGGAGGCGGACGAGAGCCGGCGCCTCATGGCGCTTCGCGCGGCGTCGACGATGGCAGACAGCGTCCTGACTCGAGGCTCGAAGCACGGCGTCCTCCGGAGCTTCCGCGTCTGGGCACTGTACTCTCGTCTGTCGGGGGCCGCGGCGTCCAAGGACGTCGACCACGACTCGGCCTTGCGCTCCGCGGTCACGCAGACGCGCAAGGCGTTGATGCGGGCGGGCGGCATGAACGCCATGGCCAAGGCCGCGAACCACCTCTTCCGCTACCGACGGCATCGCGCCTGGGCCCGGTGGCTCACGCAAGCCCATCTCGAAAGACACCTCTTGTCCGCCGCGACGAGGCACGCGGCGGCGATGGACAAGCAGGTGCTGGAAAAGGATCAGGAACATAGCGACTCGCTCAAAGCGCAGAGCGAAGAGCACTCGGCGGCCTTCAAGGCTCAGACCGACGCTTTCGAAGCGGAGCTCGAATCGCGCGAAGCCGAGATCCTCGCGAAGCACAAGGCCGCCTTGAAGGAGCAAGCGGACCGACAGGCCGCGGAGATCGACGAGGCTCTGGCGGCTCACAGGCAGCAGCAGGACATGCTTCGATCCAAGCACGAGACCGAGCTCGCGTCGGCGACGGAGATGCTCGCGCTCGAGAAGGACCACGACCACAGTTCGGCGCTCGTGTCCGCGCTGCGGTCCCGGGACGACGAACACGCCGCGGCGATGGACTCGCGCGAGAAGGAGCTCGCCGAGAGGCACGCGGCGGCGCTCGCCGAACAAAAGTCGTCGCTGTCGAGCGCGCACGAGAGCGCTCACGAAGAAACGGTCGCCCGGCACGAGGACGCCGTGGCGACGCTGCGGCGCAAGCACGAAGCCGACCTCGAATCCGCGACGGGCGCTCTGGGCGTCGATAAGGACCGCGAGCGCCTCGAGGCCGTCCGGGAACGCGAAACGGCCCACGCCAAGGACCTCCAGGACTTGGAAGCGAGCTTCGTCGAGCGGACCAAGAGCGAGCTTCAGGCCCGGGACGCGGCCCACGCCGAGGCCCTCGCGGGACTCCAGTCGCAGCACGACGCCAAGGTCGGCACCATGCAGGACGGTCACGCGGCCGCGCTCGCGTCCGCGACCGAGATGTTGGCTCTGGAAAAGGACCACGACCACAGTGCTGCGCTCGTGTCCGCGCTCCGCGCCCGAGACGACGAGCACGCTGCGATATTGGAGGCTCGCGAGAAGGAGCTCGCCGAGAAACACGCCGCGGCGCTCGCCGAGCAAAAGACGTCGCTCTCCAGCGCCCATGAGGCCACGCTGGCGGACGTGCATGGCAAGCATGAGGAGCAGACTTCTGCCCAGAAGCAAAAGCACGAGGCAACCGTCGAGGAGACGGTCGCGCGACACGAGGAGCAGCTCGCGGCCCAGCAGCGCAAGCACGAGGCCGACCTCCAGTCGGCGACGGCGACACTCGAGGTCGACAAGGACCGCGAGCACTCGTCGCGGCTGACCGACGCCATGAGGAGTCGCGACGACGCCCACGCCAAGGAACGCCAGGACCTGGAAGCGAGCCTCGCGGAGCGTCACAAGAACGAGCTCGCGGCGCGGGACGCCGCCCACGCCGAGGCAGTTGCGGGGCTCCAGTCGCAGCACGACAGCAAGGTCGCGTCGATGCAGGAAGGCCACGCGGCCACTCTCGCGTCGGCGACCGAGATGCTCGCTCTGGAGAAGGACCACGATCATAGCAGCGCGCTCGTGGCTGCTCTCCGCGCCCGCGACGACGAGCACGCGAAAGCGATGGAGGGTCGCGAGAAGGAGCTCGCCGAGAAGCAC